CGGGACGGGAGGCAGGGAAGGCGGGGCCGGGGCCGGGAGGCCCGTGCGCGCGGCTCGGCGTGACGGCTCTGGGCCCCGGGCAGGATGTACACGCTGCTGTCGGGGCTGTACAAGTACATGTTCCAGAAGGATGAGTACTGCATCCTGATCCTGGGCCTGGACAATGCCGGGAAGACGGTGAGTGTCTGTTCCTTTGCCGGCTCCCCTCCCCTGCCTGGAGGGCTGTGTTGGTTTTGTGCCAGTCCTGGGGCTTGAACTCAGGGCCTGGGCGCTGTCGCTGTGCTTCTCTGGCTCAAGGCTAGCGCTCTACCACGTGAGCCACAGCGCCACTTTTGGGTTTTTCTGCCTATGGGGTGCTGAGGAATCGAACCCAGGGCTTCATGCACGCAAGGCAAGCGCTCTACCACTGAGCCACCTTCCCAGTCTTGTGTTTGGTTCATATGGGCAAGTTTATCACCAGGCAGAATCAGAGCTCCTCCTGCTTCTGATGGGCTTCGTGAACACGTTGCCTTTCATTTTTACTTAGGGAGTAGGCCCCAAGAAGGGTTATTTAGGAAAAGCACCTAGTTTCTGCCCTAAGCCACACTGTGTACCTCTTTCTCTTTCCTTAGACCTTCTTGGAGCAGTCAAAAACCCGGTTTAACAAGAACTATAAGGGGATGAGTCTCTCCAAAATCACCACCACCGTGGGTCTGAACAGTAAGGGGGCATTTTAGGGTGTGGATTTAGGGGGAGGATGCTTCCCACAGCCCACCTAGCCAGTGGACAGAGCCTTGTAAAGCCCCTTAGAGTGGTACCAAAGCGATCTGCTCTGTCCCCAGGACAGTTGGGCATCGATGTGCAGGGATCAGGGTCATGAGCGAGCCCCTTCTCTCCTCTCCCTAGTCGGCACTGTGGACGTGGGAAAAGCTCGCCTCATGTTCTGGGACTTAGGGGGGCAGGAAGAGCTGCAGTCTTTGTGGGACAAGGTAAGACATATGCCACCTGCCCTGGCTGCTACTCTGAATGGTTTTCCTTGCTCTTTTTCTCCCATTACCCATTTTCCTCACAAGTTTTTGTTCCCATTCATTGACTCCCTGTGCCGTCCTTGCTAAACACATACAAGAGTGGCCATGCTGAAGTACCTGTTCCAAAGGAATCTCCAGGATGGCCAGTGCAGGGCTTCCTGTGGGAGCTCACAGGAGGGCTGTCCTTAGGCTGCCGTGGTGTTGCTGAGAGTTTGAGGACCCAGAACCAGTTCTTTGACTGTTTCAGGGAATGACTTAGCACCCTACCATGCATCAAGGTAGCTCTGATGTCATAGAAAATTACGTAGTAGTGGCTGTGCCACAGGGCTGTCAGTGCATGTTTTTTTCTTGGGAGAGGATAAAAGAAAAAAAGAGAACCAGGGGGCTTTCCCTGCCCCCAAAAGCGTGGCACAGTTGCTAACTTAAGGGTTTTTCTGGTTGTTACTACAGGTCAGCTTGTGTCTCCCACTGGGCCTGCCTGCCATGCTGGCCAGGTGCCTAGCAACTGCCCTTTTTTTTTTTTTGCCAGTTGCGGAGCTTGAGCTCAAGGCCTGGGCTCTGTCCCTGAGCTTTTTGCACTCAAGGCTAGTGCTCCTACCACTTTGGGCCACAGCATCACTTCCAGTTTTCTGGTGGTTGACTGGAGATAAAGAGAATCACAGACTTTGCTGCTCAATCTGGCTTTGAACCCTGATCCTCAGATCTCAATCTCCTGAGTAGCTAGGATTACAGGCAAGAGTTACTGATAGGGCTGGGAAGGTGGCTCAGTGGTAGAGCGCTTGCCTTGCACGCATGAGGCCCTGGGTTCGATTCCTCAGCACCACATAAGCAGAAAAAGCCGGAAGTGGCGCTGTGGCTCAAGAGGTAGAACACTAGCCTTGAGCTGAAGAGCTGAGGGACAGTGCCCAGGCCCAGAGTTTGGCCCCACGACTGGACCCAAAAAAAACCAAGAAACAAAAAAAAAAGAGTTACTGACACCAGATTTATTTATTTGTTTATTTATTTTTTATGCCGGTGCTTTTTGTGTTGTGTCTCTTTAGCCACGGCTTCCTTCCAATTTCTTTTGGTAGTTGATTGGATAGAGATAAGAGTATGGGTAGACATGACCTCATCAGATGCTCTTGGCAGCCCAAGTGGACAGCCTGCAGGAGCCAGAGGGAGGCCACCACGGGGAGGCCACCACGGGGAGGCCACCACGGGGGGAGGCCACCACGGGGGGAGGCCACCACCGGGGAGGCCACCACCGGGGAGGAGGCCACCACCGGGGAGGAGGCCACCACCGGGGAGGCCACCACGGGAGGAGGCCACCACGGGAGGAGGCCACCACCGGGGAGGCCACCACGGGAGGAGGCCACCACGGGGAGGAGGCCACCACGGGAGGAGGCCACCACGGGAGGAGGCCACCACGGGGGAGGCCACCACGGGAGGAGGCCACCACGGGGGGAGGCCACCACGGGGGGAGGCCACCACGGGGGGAGGCCACCACGGGGAGGCCACCACGGGAGGAGGCCACCACGGGAGGAGGCCACCACGGGAGGAGGCCACCACGGGAAGCCCTGGTTGCCTCTGTGTAGCCATGCTGGCTCCCCTGTGCACCGCGCGAAGTTGTCCCTTTCCACTGGGAAGGGGCCCCTCCTCAGAAGAGATTGACGAAGGCTGGGTAAGGGCTGTGAGCTGCCTTAGCAGCTGTGTTCATCTGGTTGCCTCTCTTTTGCTGGGGTGTGGCCTGGTGCCGAAGCCCCTCTGCAGGCAGCTCAGTCACCTGCTTCTCGCCCACTTGGAGAAGTTGTCACTGGACTTTGTGCTCAGCCATGGTGTGCCTGCATGACTCTGCACACTCAGAGTCTCTCCCATCACTGTTCCCCACTGAGTTCCTGGGTGCTGTGTCTGCCAGAGTCTGGGGCTTATGATTGTCTCTAGCGGGGAGGGTTGCAGTGTGGGGGGCACGGGGAACTGCAGCTGACCAGACATGATAGAGGCGCATGCCACGAGTTTCTTGTGATGTGACTTCCTACAGGACCGTGGGCTGGCATTTTGTATCTAGGGAGCCCCCACTCCTGCCAGAGAAACCCTGAGATCAAACACCTGGTGCCCAGCCATGTTAGTGCCACCAGGCTGGGTGCCTTGCAGTGGTTCCATTGGTCTTGGGTGAGGGAGCCTGTCTCTTTAATGTTGTAGTCTGCCACCATGGTCCCTGCTACCCATCGTGGAGCATAAGCCACCATGTCGGCAAGCCAAGCATTTCAGGCTCCGCAGATGTCCTGGTGGGCCTGGACACAGGGGCCCCTAGTTCATTCCAAATATCCTCTGTCGTCACGTTTGTGACTAGGTGGCGCATGCTGCCAGCCTCAGGTCTGCACGTACACACACATCTCAGCAACTTCGCATGCACACAGGGCCAGCTGGGTGTCCTGGATGTTACCCTCTTGTGGTCTTGCAGGTCCTTGCGGCCACAGTGTGCCCCTCATCTCACCACAGGGCTGCTCTTCTTGTGCTTGGTCTCAGGGTCTGATGCCCGTGACATTGCCACCTTGCTTGGGGCTGCAGGTGCAGCTGGCTGATTCTTACTGGAAGCCTTACCATGACCATTTCCACCGTGGCGATGCGCTGTCCGCAGTAGGGCCTGCCAGCTTTCCAGTAGTAGCCCCTGTGCTATGCCTGTCTCTGCCAGAGCAGCCCGTGTGGTCTTGCTGCAGATCCCTGTGGGAGTTGCCCAGTGCGGGTCTCCTATTCCTGGGGAGGACCAGGGGAGTGGGCAGGGTGACACAGATGTCTTCACGGCTGGAGCGTAAAGGACCTGTTCTCCCTGTGGTCACCCACGTGCAGAGATTCGTGGCTCATCGTGGCCTTCCAGGCCAGTCAGTGTCACCCTGAGGCGCAGCGCGAGTGTGTACTGTTTTTCTGCTCTGCATGGATGTGGGTCTTCCCCTGGGGGAGAAGCGCCCTGCTGCTTTGTCTGACCTCAGCAGTGCTGTCCACTGCTCACTTAGTAAGTTCAGAACTGGCCACCTCCAGTCTGCAGAGGTCTGCAGGTCTGAGCACAGCAGTGCCAGCTCTGTCCGGGCAGAGCAGGGCAGGGCAGTGCTAACCTGTGTAAGACCCCTGCTGACTGCGGCCTGGACTCCTTCACTCTCAACCCTGCTTCTCACCTTCATCACCACCATCAGGCCAGGGCTGCAGGCAAGTTCTTAGGAGCGGCAGTGGCACTAGCAGGTCAGCCATCTCTCGGGGTCAGCAAGTCTTTCCTTGAGTGACTGGATGGCGCGCTTGGGTCTCCTGTCCCCTGGCTGTCCCGAGCGGGGGGAGGGGGCAGGACCCCCAGAACGCCACCAGTGGCACAGCAGTGGTGCGTAGCCACATTGGTCCTTGGCAAGGGAGGCTCTGGTCCCCAGCGTCTACTGCTTCCTTCCAGTACTATGCGGAGTGCCACGGTGTCATCTACGTCATCGACTCCACGGACGAGGAGAGACTGTCGGAGTCCAAACAGGCCTTTGGTGAGTGCCTGGGGGTGTGGTCTTGAGGGAGGGCTGCGTGGGCCCATGGTGCTCCCTTGCCAGGCCTGTTACTCAGACTGCTTGGTGTGTGAGGGAGGGGTAAGGACGTTGCTGCTTTCTCCATACCTGCGGACCCTCGAGCAGGTATCCAGGGAGAGGCAGGGTGGCGCTAGGTGCTGCCTTTCTTACTCTCCCCAGAGAAGGTGGTTTCAAGCGAGGCGCTGGACGGCGTCCCCATCCTGGTTCTGGCCAACAAGCAGGATGTGGAGGTAAGCCCCGTCCGCACACGGCCCCTCCTGCCCCAGCCCTTCAGGACCTCCAGCTTCCTGGGCCCACACAAAGGCAGGTCTGTCCCCCTGGAGGTTCTCACGTCAAACCTTCCCCCCACTGGTGCTAGTGGACACTGCCACACACGGCACATTCTTTCCACTGGAGGGCAGGTGTGTCCTGCCCAAGGAGCTGGGGCCTGGGATGGGAGGACCTGAGCCCCGTTGAGTGTGAACTCTGACCCAACCTGGCCCTGCTGGCCCTGGGACAACCTCTGTGCAGCCTGAGCCCGGGGCCCTGTGAGGGAGGGGGCCCTGCAGTCCTGTCATCTGCAAAGCGTGGTGGCGGCCAGCACCTGGAGGGAGGTGCAGCTCTGTTTCCAAGGCAATCCTGCGCCCCCACTTCCTGTCCTCCCTGGCCCCCCACTTCCTGTCCTCCCTGGCCTGTGCCCTTACTCCTGCAGACCTTCCCACTGTCCCTGCCCCTGTGGCTCCTAAGCTCCAAACAGAGGAGTCCATCTTCCATCAAGGAAAAGGAGAGCAAAGAAGCCTCATGGGGGATGGGTCTGCCACCTTTGACATTCACGCCTCTCTTTCAGAGCACAGTATCTTGCTGGGGCTGCCCATGGGGCGGGGCTGTGGCCTTGGAGCCACCTGTGAACAAGTCCTCTGGGCTCTACCACTCATGGGCAGACTTGGGCTGAGTGCAGTGTCCTGACACTGGCTGCCAAGGGAGGGCATTGAATCCTCGGTTCCCTGGGGAGAAAGTGTTTCCTGGGACCCCATGGAGCAGGTGGGAGGTGGCCAGGCCCTGAGGCTGCTCCTCAGGACCTTACTCTCCCCTTCTCTTCCCCCCCCCCCGCCCCCCGCCCCCAGACCTGCCTCTCCATACCGGACATCAAGACCGCGTTCAGTGACTGTACCTGCAAGATTGGCCGGAGAGACTGCCTGACCCAGGCTTGCTCGGCCCTCACGGGGTGAGTGGGGGCCTTGACCCCCTCCCCCCCGCCCCGGGTCCCCAGGGCCCGGGCCCCCACTCACACCCTTGTCTCTGCAGCAAGGGAGTGCGTGAGGGCATCGACTGGATGGTGAAGTGCGTTGTGCGGAACGTGCACCGGCCGCCGCGGCAGAGGGACGTCACGTAGCGCGGCAGTCCTCACGCTGGCTCGGCTGCGGACCCTGGGCCCTGGGCTCGCTTTGTCTCTTGGTTCTTTCACTCGCTCTATTTTCTCTAAGAAACTTTTTTCTGTGACTGGAAAAGTAGGCATCCGGAGGGTTTTGCTGAGGGGTATGGGGCTCCCGGACCAGCCTGGCTCCACACAGACCCTGGGCCCAGGGCCCTCTCGGGGCCAGGTGTTAGGGGGCGGGGGGCGGGGGGGGGAGCCTTGCCTGCCTCCCGGGAGGCCTGCGGGGAACGTCATGGAATGCTGGGGCTGGCTCTGGCCAGGACTGATTATGGAGATGTTCTAGGGCTCATCTTGAGACACAGATCACACTCCTAGAGGGCAGTGGGACCCCCAAGTATTTTTGTTTTGTTGAGACACCTCGCGGTATATCCGACTGGCCTCAAAGTCTTGGTCCTCTCAGCCTCCTGAGAGAGTGCTGGGATCGCAGTTGTGGGACACCGTGTCTGACTGTGCTGCAAGCTTTGAGGCAGCCTAGGGTCAGAAGTCATGAGCCTTACTCAGCTGCCCCTTCGCACCGTGCTTCGTCTCCAGGGGAGTGGGCTGCTGTGTGGAGCGCTGGGTGTGCATCTCCTTACGCCCTCCACACAGCTCAGCTGCTTGTGTGGGTCCGCATCCCCAGCTAGGGGGTGGGGAAGGGTGGCCGCCTGCCCCTCACGGGGGCCTGGCTGAAATCTCTGGCCTTGCCACTGTGGCCAGGGCAACTGTGGAGCTAGGACTGCCTGGCTGGCCCCTGGTCCTCCATCCCTCCAGACGGCCTATGGGCTGTGACTCCTGGAGAGGTCAGACGGCTCCTGTCCAAGTTCAGGCACAGCTTGCAGGAGGGGCTGGGCCTGCAGCCTCAGGAGGGGAGGTGGCAAGGCTGGCTCCTCAGTCACTGGTTCCCAGAAGGCACTGGCTGGGGAGTCCTGGGGAGAGGATGGGGCTGGAAGGATAGGATTGGCACTGCAGGTGCTCCACGCCCTGGCTCTGTGCTGCCAGCCAGCCTCCCGGGGAGACGAGTTCCAGAGTGACCTTAGGCACACCACAGTGGGCAGGAAGCAGAGGATGTGGTCCCCTGCTGGTCTTGGAGTAGACACAAAACTTGAAAGCAGCTGGCTTCACAAAACAGCTTTATGAAATAAATCTAAAGTCTCCTTTGGTGCACAGCCAAGCTCACTTGGGCTGGGAATGTAAAGGGGAGCCACCCCAGAGGGCCTTAGTGGGATGTGTGCCCTGGTCTACCTCTGCAGCCCATGTAGCCCAGCCACAGTGTGCCTGAAGCTGGTGGGTCTGCAGCATCCGGCCCCCTCCCCGCACCCAGAGCTCCTGGAGCCGAAGCCACCAAGCCTGGTGGCTGTCCTGGGCAGCACCAGGATTTGCCATCTTGAAGCCCTGGAAAAGCAGAGCGGGTGACAAGTTCACACTTCCATCCTGCCAGGAAAGTTAGGCCAGGTAGGCAGGTCACTGGAGACCCCAGTGCACAAACCCTGGAGACGGATTGGAACTGGAAGGTGGGAATATCTAGATGCTCACAGACCGTACAGAGGGACAGGGCAAGACCTGACCCATCTGTTCCCAAGAGCTTTGAGCTTTCTGGGTCAGAGGAAGCAGGAAGGTGTGATGTGGTTGTATTCAGTACTTAGGGTTCCTCAGGAGGGACCCTAACTGGGACCCCACAGGTGCAGGCCCTTCCCAGCCTGATCACCAGGTTCTCTGACTGATCCTGCCCACCCATGATGGTGCTGGCTCACCTGCCTCACCCAGCCTTGAATCCAGTGTGGTTGGTGCACAAGGTGGGCACAATGAGGGCCAAGCCCCGGGCAGAGCAGTCATCTGTGCCATGCTGCCAGGTCAGCAGCAGCCTGCACCCTCCCCTGCAGTGACCACACCCCTTCCCACCCAGCACCCACTTGGGGCAGCCACTGGCGGGCCAGGTAGAAGTACATGCCAAGAAAGGCCAGCCGGTGAGAAGCAGGGTGGCGTGTCCCGGTACCCAAGCACTCGGGTATAGATCGTGCCACAGGCAGGTGGGCACGGCCAGCACCAAGAGCAGAGCACACAGTGCCGGTGGCGCTGGCCCCAGCCTGTCCTCACGGTGATTGTGATTCTGCACGGACGCCGTTCAACGTGAGCCTCCCCCACGGAGGTAAGGGCAGGCCAGCTGCACCATGCCTCATGGAAACCCCCTCTTGGGCACTAAAGGGGGTGAATGAGGCCACCCCCGGGGCATCCTTGGACTGAGCTGTAGGAGAGGCGAGTGCAGAGGGCGGTGGTTTGGTGGGGGCTATCTAAGGTCTGCCCCAAGGGAACTTGCTCAGGAGCCTAGTGTGTAGCGCTCAGGCTAGTCCAGAGGGGCCCCTATCAGGAGGCTCCTCCACACCAAGCCCCACAAACACTCTGGGCAGCTGCCAGTTTATTAGCTGGTTCCGGAGTTGAGCAGGCATGCTGCCTGTGCCGTCCAGGCAGGCTGGGGATTGGGAGGGCCTCTTGGCCTAAGGCCCTTACGGTCTTCCTAGCCCTCACTGGGCTCCAACCAGAAGACCTGTGCGATGCTCTGCTTCCTGGTGGCGGCCTGGCAAGCAGGACATGTCCTAGAAGCCTGTGGAGATGCCCAGACTGCAGTGTGCACTCAGGCCGGGACCTGGCTGCAGGCCTGACCCTCCTCACGGCCCACTACCCGGGGTGACACCTGGCAGAGCCAACCTGGATGTGCCGGCGCCAGCAGGCCGAGCATCGGTGGAAGTCGCAGGAAGGGCACTGGAAGGGCACTGCATCGTCTGCCCCACAGCCCGGGCACAGGAAGGGAGCTGCAAGGGGCCCGTGTGAGCCCACCTCAGCCCCCAGAGCCACACCCTGCCTGCCACCACGCCCTCTACAGCTCACCCCGCCCGGGCCCGGGCTTCCGGCGCCCGTGGGGCAGCTCGGTGGCGGTGCCCTTGGCCTCCACGTTCCCAGCTGGCCTTTGTCTAAGGAAGGATGAAATCTTGCTCTGAGTCTTCCCAGGTTTCTCCCACAGCAAGGCGCCTAAAGACACAAGTGTAAGGAGGACTAGCGCTTGCCCTGCTGCGCCCTGGGTGCAGGCACCTGGGCAAGGTAGGCGGAGCACCCAGGCAGGCCCCACACCTGGCCTGGCAGACCCACATGTGCATTTGTGCGGCCTGCTTGGGCTCTCATGCCGAGAGCCTAGGGGCCCTGCCGTGCCCGTGCCGGGGGTGATTAGACCAGGAGGCCCCCGCTGTGCCCGTGCTGGTGGGAGGAGGCCCCGCTGTGCCCGTGCCTTTGCCGGTGGTGGTGGGAGGAGGCCCCGGAGGAGGCCCCGCTGTGCCCGTGCCGGTATCTGTGCCCGTGCTGGTGGGAGGAGGCCCCGCTGTGCCCGTGCCAGTATCTGTGCCGGTGGTGGTGCCGGTGGTGGCGGTGGCAGCGGCACTGGCACCGGCAGCAGCGGGAGGACCCATCAGGTCTGAGCAGGTCTTCAGGAACTTCAGCTTGTGGTGGGGACGCACAAACATGCCGAACCCTAGGGAAGGAAGGAGGCTCTCAGGCGCTGCCTCTCCCAGCACCCCTGCCCGCCTGGGACCACTTACTCCGGAGCAAGGGGAAGTCCTCAGGCCTTGTGGTGGTTAGCGAAGCCAGCACAGCCAGCACCGTGTCAAGGTCATCGTCCTGTTTGTACGCCCTCAGCGCTGCCAGGAGCTGGCCGTGGCCTTCAGATCCCAGGGCCTTGCGTACATCCGCGAGGTAGGTGCTCACAGCAAGCTGGCCTGGCTTCACTCCAGACTCTACTTGGCGATCTCGGCCAGGGTTTCCTGGTAGCAGAGGTGGCACAGGGTTCCCACCGCCCCTTCCCATCCCCTGGGAGAACAGCTCTAATCTGAAGCCACTCTCAGGTCAAAGGGAAGGCCCCACTTGGGTCTTAAGAGAACCAGATACCTGTAGCAAGCAGTCCAGTGGACAGGTGGGGCCTGCCTTGGTTCAGATGCTCTCCAGGGTCCAGTTGTACATCCTTGGACATTGTCAGTTTAGACTCAACTTCTCTCTTTCCCAAAGAAACAGACTCTGGAGGGCCTGGAACGGTTCCCAGGGAGGGAGTCAGATCTGACCAGGGAAGGCTGGGCCTCGCCTCCGCTCAGCAGTCAGGAAAGGCATGTGGAAGCTGAGGCTTCCCCATCTCCCCAGCCTGCCAATTCTGCTGGCACCAAGGAGCAGGGCGCTCAGGGCAATGGATGCAGTGCTGAAGCTGGAGGGCAGGCCTTCCTGGTCCTGCGGGGCTCTCTGAGGAGCACCAAGGCAGAGAGGTGTCCTGTGTCCAGAACGCACAGACAGGAGTCTCCGAATACAGGGAGGCCCGGCCCAGGGCCGTGGGGAGCAAGGTTTGCCCCGTGAGTGCGGCTACACTGTCAGCTCCCATGCCAGAGCCGGGAGACCAAGCCCAAGGTTGCCCCAGCCACTCCAAGTACCACCTGCACTCTGGGCCTGGGCCGAGTCCCCATTTACCAATGGAGTCCAGGGCTGGCTGTGCGGGCTGCCCTTGGGGAAGGCGGGGCTCCGGCCAGTAATTGCAGCCTTGGCCCGTGAGCTGGAAGCACATGTCCTCAAACTGCTGTTTGTGGTGGGGTCGTACGAACTGGTAGAAACCTAGGGGGAGATGACTGAGCGTGGAGGCTCTGCGGACTGCATGCTACTCTCAAAGCCCCTACCTGAGGAAACAGGAAGGACCGTGGGCCTCAACCAGCCTCCTCTCAGCCCTCCTCCCCCTGCCCGCTGTGGGCGGCATCCACAGCCGGCCCCTGCAGGCTGGCGCACCTTGGAGCAGGCTGTGTTTCTTGGGGTCTTCAGCGAAGAGGAGAGCAAGGCAAGCCATCAGGCCTTCGAGGTCATCAGAGCCCTTGTACTTCTGCAGGGCCTGGGTAAAGGTGTCAAAGTTGGCTTGGCTCAGTGCCTGCTTCACAGTCACCATGAACAGCTTGGCTCTGCCCACCTGGGTACCAGCTGCGGGATCCTCCTGCTGAACACATGGCCGAGGCAGTCAGGAGAGGCCTTGGGAGAAGCCGGTGCAGCCAGGGCCAAGTGCGGCAGGTGGGCCTCCACAGCAGTGGGCCTCCTCAGCTCTGCCTCACTCCGCACACACCTCAGACGCGCAAAGTCCCAGGCACCCGAGGTGGCTTCACCCCTGTCCTACCCAGCTGTCCCTCAGCAGCCAGCCCACTCCCAGATGGCACCAGTTGCAGGCAGCAGGGACCAGACTTCCAGACATGACCACGCACGAAGAGCAATTCTGGAGGATGGCTCACATACCAGGCGGCTAACCAATCTGACCTTCTTCCTTCCTCCTCTCTGCTCATCAGCCAACCTCTTCTCACACCTTCCCGCTTGCATGGAGTGCCCAAGTGCCTGAGGATGACAGGTCCCAACCCAAATCCTGTGGCATCCCTCCGGCCCTGCGGTGGAAGGCATCCTGCCCAAACCCTGGAGGCAGCGCCGTCACTCAGCTGGTAGCAGTGTGGGGATGCCACCAGGAAGACAGACCTCTGAGAACACAGAACTGTCAGTGGGCACTGCAGGGGTAGAGACACGTAGGGAATGTGTTCCAGAAAGAGCGGGGATGGGACACCAGACAAGCTCAGCACATTGTGAGCCTTCAGTGTCCCAGGCCTGCAGGTGGCAAGAACAGTCTGAGCTTGGGTGGACTAGGCCAGCCTGACCCACAGTGGGCACCGCCCGAGGACCAGGGCCCGCCTGCCTAGAAGCCATTTGCCCTGCCTAGAAGTCACTGGAAGGAACAGCAGGATGGAGATGCAGCAGGATGGAGATGCTCAGAGGGCCCCTCCTCGTTCCTACCTCCTCCTCCCCCCCAGGCATCTCAGCCCTCTGCTCGCTGCTCTCCAGGGCAGCCAGCAGCCCCAGGGGCCGCCTCTGGACCGATGCTGGCTCTTGGTCATACTCCACACACAGGCAGCTCTCGGAGTCCCCAGTGGCTGGTGGTCCTGCGGGAACAGCAGCGTGGCAGTGCAGCTCAGCGGAGAGTGGAGGGCTGTGGCCCCAGGCCCACCTCACGCACCTGTACCCCTCCGCTTCAGGCTGGGGACGTGCACATCCAGGCTCGTGGCTTTCCTGGCGGGCAGGGGGGCACCGGGCAGGGCCATCCTCAGAACACCATCTCCGCCCACACTTGGGGCCACCACCTGGGGGACAGGCGTGGGCATCTGCGGACACACAGGACTGGCTCAGCCGCTTTGGTGGGACCTGAGGGCCCTATCTCACCCTCCCCCACCTCCATGGGCCCCTGGGAACGGGCACCGCTAGCCGGGCATTTAGGAGCTCACAGTTTTCTGAGCTACACGGAAGAACTGGGCCACGTCTCGGATGACATGGCCGAAGCTGTCATACACTCTGACGTAGGGGCGCACCCAGGAGGGTAGCTGGGCTCGGGCATCGGCCTGGGCAAACCTAGAAGACACGTGGCCATCAGTCTGAGTCCTCTGCCGCAGGAGCTAAGGGCCACTAGTGTTGGGAGCCGACAGTAAAACTCCAAGGTCATCTCGACCCTTGTGCTCACTTGAAGGCATGTACAAGAAACTGGCGTTCATGAAAAGCACCCGGTGCCCGGGTTTGCTTTGCTGTCTGTAGAGTTTGTTTTACTTTCTATCAGTTGACCTTGTTTTGTTTCAATCTGCACCTTGTTTTTATTTTTTTGTCGGCTGTGGGGCTTGAACTCTGGGCCTGGGCGCTGTCCCTCAGCTCTTCAGCTCAAGGCAAGCACTCTACCACTTGAGCTACAGCGCCACTTCCTGTTTTCTGGTGGTTTTATTGGAGATAGGAGTCTCACGGTCTATCCTGCCCGGGCTGGCTTTGAACCGCGATCCTCAGATCTCAGCCTCCTGAGTAGCTAGGATGACAGGCGTGAGCCACCAGCGCCCGGCTGCACCTTGTTTTTATTAAAATTTTCCTTGCTTCTCTGCACTATGGTGACCTTATGTTACCTCTTCTAACAGTATATAATAAGGAGAGTTAAAAATGAATGGTGCTGCAGTCTTGAGCTGCAGACCTCCCGACCCCATCCTTTGTCCTATGTCTTTATTTTTCCGTCCTCACCCCCTAATTCAGGATTCCCTTTCGTTGCCGGCAGGCTCCGGCACACTAGGTCTGGACAGACATCACAAGCAAAGACTTGGTATCCACCAGCAGGCTCGGATGGGCTACAGGGAGCTCCATGCAGGGAGGGCTCAGGACTAGAAAATGCCTCAAAGAGCAAAACGTACCTGTGGTCACACAAGAAGACAGCTCCATAGTCCTGGCGGTGCCGGATGACGCGCCCAATGGCCTGGTTCACGGCCCTGGATGCCTGCTGCCGGTACCACTCCTGCCCAGAGAGGAACTACAAGGCCAGCGGTGTGTGTCGTGGAGACGGCCGGCCACAGCAGCACTTGTCCCCAGGCCCAGCCCTACGGACTCTCACCTGCCCTCCAGCCACACCCTGGCTCCTCATCTCGTCCAGGAACTGCATCTTGAGGACCACCCGGGGATCCATTCTCGGGGGATACGGGAGGCCCGTGACAATCACACCTCGACCATTCATGTCTGCGAAGTCCAGCCCTTCGCTTGCCTAGAGAACAGGCCAGGAGCCGCTAGCTTCCAAGCGAGTGTGCACATATCCCCAGCTTCTACAGGAGCCCCTCCCGGTGTGGTAACTGACTTGGCCCCCTGCTGGGCCTGTGACTCCTAAAGCCCATGACCAATATCATGCTCAGGACCCCTGCCTGCCCTTGGCCTATGCATCGCCCCAATAGGCTCAGGGGCCAGCAGCACAGCTGGCACCTGCTTGCTAGACACCGAGCCCAAGGAATAGGAGACACAGTGCCTGCTTCACACTCATCTCAGCCCGACAGGCAGCCAGGGGGGGGACGGGGGGAGAAGACAGAGGCCTCACCTTGCCCCGGCACACTGCGAGGAAGGTGGCCCCGCTCGACCCGGGGGAGGCCACTCGCTGGTAGTAGGCACTGATGACCTAGGAGGAGAACGGTCCAGCTGTGTGCCCCAGCCTTATTCTTTTCATGTGAACCTCCCCCCGCCCCCCGCCGCCATCTGTTGTCTCGGCTGGACTTGGGCAGAACTTCACAGCGGACCCACTAGGAGCGGGGCCTCCCAAGGTTTCCCAGGAAGTGGGACCTGCGGAGCCCGGGGCGGACAAGTGACCCTCCAGTCTCCACACCACAGGGCGCACGCCTTCTCCAAGGCACACATCCAGGCCAGGAAGGACGCACAGGCACCCCAACTCCTGGTGGGAAACGGCGGCCAGCCTGGGGCCTCACAGGATGGTGGGCAGCAGAACTCATTTGGGCACAGACCTCTGGGAAGCTGCCTTTGCTCCTAGGCTCCACAAAGAGAGGCTTCAGAGCCTCCACCTTCCTGGCCAGGTCCCGGGCCTGTGAGGGAAGGAAGCCGGGACGTAGGCAGCAGCCCTCCACCCGTCAGGTGGGCAGGCACGGGCTGCTGGCCACTTCAGGAACACACACAGGGAACACACCCTCCAGAACTCCAGGCTCTTCTCCATCACCGGGTACGAAGGGAAGAAGACCAGGAGTCCATGGGGCACCACACGAGCAATGTTGCCTGCACAAACAGTGGTTGTAGTCGGGCAGGGTGAAATTCTGCAGAGCTCCCATGGATTTCCAGGAGTGAGACGTGGAGTGGGGGTCCCCCCGTGGGGCTTCCTCAGGGACAGGGCTCGTGTACAGCGGCACTTACTTACCCAGGGCCTTTCCCAGAGAGGACAGGCACTCCTCAGAAAACCTGCAAAGGCCAGGAAGAGCTGCCCGAGGACTGGACCTCAGGGCCCCTTCCACAGCAGGGAGACCCAGAAGCCAAGACGCCTACCGTTTATCAAATGCAGAGCTGAGCTGGGCTCCATCCGGGCCTCTGGGAATGACCCCCACCCAGAACTGGTGCCTGTCGATGACGTGTGGGTTCTCTAGGCAGACTGGAAAGGGGCTGAGAACAGACAGCAGGTGGTCTCTGAGGACGGGAACACCCAGGACCCTGGCCGTGGGGAACCCCACCCCCGCCCCTGCCCCCATCGTGAGCCCAGGCCTGTGCCGGAGGTAGCCCATACATCTGCATCTCCAAGGCAAAGGAAGACAGTGGGGCCAGCGTGCCACTGGTGAGGATGATGGTGCGCACGCCCTGGTGGACCAGCTCCCGCATGCTGTGGCCGGGGCTGAAGCACCAGTAGCTCAGCACCTTCCCTGCAGAAGAGAGGGGCGTGAGGACGGCCCTGGGAGGCCGATGTGTCATCCTCCTTACCCACAGCCAGAGGCTGTGGACAAAAGGCTTACGCTCAACCTGCAGTCCAACTCCTCTCCTGGGGGTCTGGAGGGCAGGAAATAGACCCAGGCAGACGTTGGGGTACACCCGGAGAGGGCCCAACATCTGCAGAAGGTAGGACTGTGGCGCTGGTCTTAGAGCCACGCCATTAGAAGCACACGGGAGGGAGACAGCATCATGTAATCACAGCACGTTGTAAGCATGACTGCAGAAGACGGGAGCAGGTTTGGACTCTGGCAGCCATAGGTGACTGGTTTGGAGGGAAGGCCACTTCCAGGCAGATCCTGGGGCTGACAGGCTGCCATCTGCTCATCCTCAAGTCTCTGAAAGCTTTAGAAGCTAAACCAACACCAGGAGGACACTGAAGGGCTGGGAAGGTGGCTTAGTGGTAGTGCTCGCCTAGGATGCATGAAGCCCTGGGTTCGATTCCTCAGTACCACATACACAGAAAAAGCCAGAGGTGGCATTGTGGCTCTAGTGGTAGAGTTCTAGCCTTGAGCAAAAAGCAGCTCAGGGATAGCGCCCAGGTCCTGAGTTCAAGACCCAGGACTGGCAAAAATAAATATAATTAAATAAGTAAAAATAAGACACTGAAAGACCAGGCACCAGTGGGGATGAGTTCGCTTCCTGTGAAAGGCAAGGCTTGCTTCCATGTCGCCGGGGAGTCTGTCTTGCCCAGGGAAGAGCCAGGGCCATCGCACAGGCACCAGTCCACCTCTAAGAAGTAATTTGCTGTTAGCATCTTACCAGGGAAGTGCCTTTCTGTGATTTCAGCAGTAGGAGCCATACTCTACATGGCCCCTTGGTGCCTGAGGACAATACAGGCCTCCCTGAGAATGGATACTTCCTGTCAGGAGGTCTCATGTGAGGGAGGCCACAGTCCTTGGCTGACCTTGGCTGACCTTGCCCCCACACCGGTCCTTTTCTTCCTACCGGCATCCCACACAAGGCTCTGAACTGGAACCAGCGGCCCAGAAAGGATGGGGCATTCACAGAAGCTCAGAGGTAAGGTCTCGCTGGAATGAGCAATGGGGGCCAGGACGGCAACACACCCTACCTGACATGTGCAGGGAACGCAGTGCTGCCAGGAGGGAGACTGAGCCAGGCAGGGAGCCCCGAGCCCCAGGGGTAACAGCACGTGGAGCCTGGGGAGCCTCACTGCTCACCGCCAGCCTCAGACTCCATCTGCACAGTGCTGGCGCCGCGCTGAGACGCTGGGAAGCGAGCCGAGCCAGCGGGCAAGGAGGGGAGACTGCAGGCAGACCTTGCTGCGGCGGCTGGCAGGCGCGGCCTCGTGCCCTTCACATGGAGGCCTGAGGCAGGCAGGGGCCAGGCCTGGGGCTGGCTGGCTGCTCTGCCACCTGCCTTGGCTTCGGTGACTATGCTCTTGGCAGGCTGGGCCCTATCACCGCCAACGGCGGGAATCTGCTGAGCAGGTGACAGAGCCTTAGACCTCCTGAGGTCTTTGGTCTTCAGAGGGAAAGGGAGGGGCTGCAGCTGGGCCTGGCCCTGAGCATAGCATCACTGAGTACACATGGAGGCCTGTACCCGGCTTTCGGGATGCGGCGGTGCTCCAGGAGTCTGACCGCTGTGCTGCCCTTCGGTGGCCGGTGTCAGGGTGTATATGCACCTGGAGGGAAAACGCGGGCTGAAAGCTGCCCCACAGGTGTGAGACCCCAGCCTTGCCCCATCCCCGGGCGGCTCCCACCTTATAGGACCGTGAGACTCCCAGCCCAGTCACATGACCAGGGCTGCCCTCGGATGGGTCCACACTGAACACAATCTGAAAGGCAAGAAAGCACAGAAGCACAAAGCCCTTCATGATGCAGCAGGGCAACTGAGTCTTCTTGGCCCAGCACGCAGAAGCCTGAAGTCACTTCCTTCTTCCGAGTCCCCAGCAAGGACGGACAGACCCGCAGGGCTGCACAGCCAAGCACAACAGCCCCTTCTCTCTTTTTTTTTGTCAGTTGTGGGGCTTGAACTCTGGGCCTGGGCGCTGTCCCTGCACTCTTCAGCTCAAGGCGAGCGCTCTACCGCTTGAGCCACGGCACCACTACTGGTTTTCTAGTGGTTTATTGGACTTTCCTGCCCGGGCTGGCTTTGAACCGCAATCCTCAGATCTCAGCCTCCTGAGTAGCTAGGATGACAGGCGTGAGCCACGGCGCCTGGCAGCCCCTTCTCTCTAGGCACACGTCCTCAGGCCTGAACAGAGAACAGGTGTGTGAAAGAAGCAGACAAGTCTTCATCACCTGTCTATGCACCAATCCTGCCCCTCCCCCCCAGGCAGCTGCAGCAAGTGCCAATCTGCGCACAGTCTGCATACACCGCCACACTGCATACAGTAGCCTTCAAGCTTCCTCTGACTTGGACCCTGCCCACTGTGGCTCCTGGGAGCTCCAATTCATCCAGATACTTAATGTTCTAGCCTGACTCCAAAAGTCATGTGGTAGACAAAACATCGAGACAAGTTTAAAGGAATAATGAGAAGGAATCTGTTCTAGCCAATATCAGAACTTACCAAACCTCAGTAAATGAGAACATGCAGCTGTTCTTCCCAGGGAACAGGACAGGTTCACAACCTACACAGAGCCAGGCCACTCCAAGAACATTTACAAAACCAGAGGTGAAGCGGGGCACCAATGGCTCTGGCCTATAATCCTAGCTACTCAAGAGGCTGAGATCTGAGGATCACAGTTCAAAGCCAGCCCAGGCAGGAAAGGCCATGAAACACTTATCTCTCCAATAAACCACAGAAAACCAGAAATGAAGCTGTGGCTAAAGTGGTGGAGTGCTCATCTGAGCTGAAGAGCGCAGGGACAGAGCCCAGGCCCAGAGTTCAATCCCCATGACCGACAAAAAAGAAAAAAAGAAGAAAGAAAACCAGAAGTGACCAGGCCTCTCAGCCCGGGCTGGGAACAATGAGACTATACAATAAAACTCCTAACAGCAAAGAATATGCACACAGTGGTCAACACACAGGATGAAGAGCTCTACAAAGGGGAAACAGACAAGTGTTCAAGTAGTGCTACCTGAAGAGAAGGCAGCATCAAGTGATCAAGAGCTGGGTGCTGGTGGCTCACACCTGTGACCCTAGCTACTCAAGAGGCAGCAAAGTCCCATGGGACTCTTATCTCCAATAAACTACTAAAAAAAAATCACAGAAGTGGCACTGTGGCTCAAGTGGTAGAGCACTAGCCTTAAGCACAAAGAGGCTCAGGGACAGGCCCAGCCCCTGAGTTCAAGCTACAGGACTGGCAAAAAAAAAAAAAAAAGTGACCAAGAGATACTGCAGTGACCAGGCACAAGGGAAACAGACCGCAGGGGCAAGCAGAAAATCAGGCTTAACCCAAGGTGACAACGCTTCACAGCTGCTACCTAACCAGCAGGGATAATGTCTTCCACAGACTGTATGTGTGTGTGTGTCCGTGTGTGTGTCTTCCACGGACTGTGTGTGTGTGTGTCCTGAACCAAGGTCGTGTGTGTGTGTATAAGGGGCCTGAACCAAGGTCTTGTGTGTACGTGTGTGTGTGTGTGTGCATAAGGGGCCTGAACCAAGGTCTCGTGTGTGTGTGTGTGTGTGTGTGTGTGTATGGGGGGTGTGCCCCGGTGTCTTGTGTGTGTGTGTGTGTGTGTATAAGGGGCCTGAACCAAGGTCTCGTGTGTGTGTGTGTATGCGCGTGCATGTGCAGGCACACACACAAATGCAGAATCGCGCACCTACATACGCTGTGTGGGTGTGCACACAGCAACACTGGTGACATAAGGCAGTCATACACAGGCTCTGAATTTTACCAGAGTGCTGGCCTGCAGGGACAGACACAAAGAATGCACTGGTGAGTTTCTGGTGGGGGCCTGGGGATCGTCTTAGCCAAAGGGAGGAAAAGGTGGAAATTTTCCACATGGAATTGCTAGTCCCAGTGGTGACCTGCTTCTTGGTCAACCGTCTCCCCTCCCTCCCCCTCCTCCTCCTATTAGGGGCTCCCATTTGTCCTGTCCTTGAGATGCTATTCAAGAAATCACTGACTCTCAAGCTGGAGAGCCAGGGCCCATCTGCAAGTAAGGATGTGTGTCCTCCCTGACCCTGAGGGGCCTGGAGGCTGCCTGGCTGCCACTCTCCACCCCTGGGTGTGTCTGGCCACTGAGCAGCTAGCATGGCTGGACCCACTGTCCCTTGCCTCTCTAGAGAGCTGGAGTGCATTCAAGGCAAGAGGAAAGAAGCACAAGGGTTAGCCAATCAGACCTGCAGCAGGAGACCCCTGTCCTGTCCTGGAAACACCTCGCCAACTTCCCTCAGGAAAGGAGGCACAAGTAGTTGAAAGTGGGCTCCTACCTGGATGATGTCCACCAGTTTCTGCAGGCCAGCTGTGTTGGTGAACACACCAGTACCTGTAGGACAGCAAGGAGCTGACACGAAAACCACAGGCGAAGGAAGCCCGGGAGCCAGCAGTGCTGACCATGGTGCCAAGCCCTGCCTTATGCCAGCAAGGCCCCGGGGCCTGCAGGCCAGACTCCTGCTCACGAGGAGGGACCAAAGCAGGCTACCAACACTGGTGGTGCGGTTCTAGCACACACACACAGCCGCGCCGGGCCGACGCCTCCGCCTCAGCCCTGTCTGCGCCAGGGCCGCTGGCTGGCTGTGGCCCAGACACTCACGTCCTGCCAGGTGCTGGATGATCTGGTCCAGGGAATCCAGGATGCAGCCCTTGGTCTGAAACGTTATCTGGGCTTCAGCAAACAGCTCAAAGATGTAACTGCCGAAGAGGAAAGAGGACGGGCTGAGCCCTCAGGAAGGCCGAGGCTGGAGGCCAGAGGCTCTGCCCTCAGGAGCCACCAGACAGGAGGGAAGAGCAGCCCTGGTGTGAGACCCAGACACTGGGCCCTGGGATGAGGTGAGCCTCCACCTTGGGTAAAGCGAGGTCCTGATCAAACTTCTGGGTAGTAGCTCTGGGAAGGTTCCCTAAGAACTTGGGAAAGAGACAGGGCAAGGGCAGTGGAAGCTACGGCAAGCCCTATGGTGGGGCTGCTGAGGGTAAGTCTGGGAGAGAAAGCCAAGGAGGCAGGCCAGCACTGTACATTGGCTGCTTATCTGGAAAGAGCTGGGAGCCTCTGAGAGGGTTATAGCTCAGAGGAAATCAGATGGCCCAGGGAGGAGGAAAACAGCTCAAGATTCCACAACACACTCCACAGGACTGGTACCAGCATGGTCACTGGGTGTGTTGTGCCCAGGAGAGCTACCCCTCAGCCCCAACCACAGTCCCTCGGCTGCCTTCACCGTAGGTGCCAAACCCTGCTGCTGAATAAATAAATCTGGAGGCCTGTGGAGTGCTCAGAATCTTCTGGGTCTCCCAGAGCCCTTCACATGGTGGGAAACTACACGGGTCACCCCAACAAGCTCTCCTAACAGGCACCTTCCCGGCCACAAGGAGCCAGCCAGAGGAAAGGGCTGAGAACACTATTTCAACATACCCAAGGTCCACTCCTGCTGGGCCTCAAACACTGAAAAGACTCTGCTGGTGGGTGAAGCCTAAGGCCTGGGCAGTCAGACCCAGATCTCCATGAAGTCAGAGCCCAGTGTCGGCTGCCTACCAGCTCCAGTGGTTCCTGGAGCAACAGGTCGCAGGGTTAGTCTGTCCCTCACCTCCCAGGCTTGGTGACTCCACGGTCATCACCAGGCAGCTGGATGGCATCAATCGCCCCCTCCAGGCGAAGCAGAATCACTGCAAGTCAAAGGGTCATCAGAGGCGGGGCCACCCAGTCTCCACGGGAAAGGAAGGGCAGCACTTACTCTTCAGCTTGGCGATGTCTTCTAGATTCATATTGATGCCTATGAGAGAAGGAAGCACACTCATGGTTTCACAGCACTCTGCCCGACCACACGCTTGCCTGCCCGAGGTCCCAGCGCCCCAGCATGACAGAGGACGGGTACAAGAGAAAAAAAGCCAGCATGAGTGAACGCACACAAGTACGAGACACACGCACCAGGATGGAGAGCACTCAAGAGAAAAAGTTACTTGAAGCCCTCAGCCCACATTCAAATATGAGGCTGTGTCTTTCACCCTTAGAAACATACATGTGTGTCGGGCTGGGAAGGTGGCTCAGTGGTAGAGCGCTTGCCTTGCATGCATGAGGCCCTGGGTTCCATTCCTCAACACCACATAAGCAAAAAGAAAAAAGCCAGAAGTGGCACTGTGGCTCAAGTGGTAGAGTGCTAGCCTTGAGCAGAAGAGCTGAGGGACAGCGCCCAGGCCCAGAGTTCAGGCCCCACGACCGGACCCAAAAAAAAAAAAGAAACCTACATGTGTGGAGCCGGGAACGTGGTTTAGTGGTAGAGTGTTTAGGATAGGCCTCACTCACCTAGAAGCATTATTTAAAAATTGGAGTTGCTAGGCAACAAAGCCAAGCATGTTCCCTCAGCTCAGAAAGATAAGGGCTGCAGACAGCAACTGTCATTTCTGAGTCTGTAACTCCCGTTATCTGCATAAGGAATGGGAATGTCTCCCACCCCCGATTCTCCATATTTCATCCTCTAAAATGAGCATAAATCCTTGATAAAGCTTAAAAAAAACAGTAGAATTGCATATAACTCTAATCCCAGGAGGAACAGGTTCAAGGTCATCCTAAAATGCCTCCAGGACAGAAGGGCCCAAGCCCGGCCGAGGTGCTGTGCAGGGCACTTTGTCCTCTGGGCGGCCACTCCACACCTCGTCCACGCCTTTCAGCTCCTGACAAACTCACCTGAGCTGGGAGTGTCCATGCTGAACTCCAGGTGGAGCTCACCCTGCTGTGCCACCCTGGTCTGCTCCTCCAAAACCTGGTCGAGAGCCTCTAGTCCCGAAGCCACATCTCGGGGGGTCAAGTCAAAAGACGCCGACTCTTCACACATCTTCTCCTGAGAACCCAAGCAAACTGTCGCTGAAGAACACCAGGATGGGGGTCCCAGGAGCGGGAGCGACATGAAGTCCCCAAAGCCCTGGCCCCTGGTCACCGCTGAGATAACTGGCTACTATACCCATGTTTAAAGTTCATTATTTCATGTTAGTTGCCAATGTTTCATAGATAAAAATTTACTATTTCTGGCTTCTAAAGTCAGAAGATGTGACACATGGACTACTTCTAGAGCCAAGCAGGGGCTGCAGGCAGTGCCCGCCGCCCAGGCCCAGGAGGCCCAAGCCTCTCCCCAAACTCCAAAGTGGCCAGGCATGCTTCCCGGCCTCCAAGGCAAGCACACAGCCCTAAGCAGGCCACAGAGGCAGTGTGGGAACAGGCTAATGACGAAGGACCAACGGAGGACCAAGGGGGAACTTCTGCTGTGACACACCTCTCAGGACCAGGCCAAGTAACCTGAATGCAGAGATCCTGCAGGAAGAATGACAAGAGCAGAGTCCCGGAGACCACGGAGCCAGGCCATTGCCCCAGGCAGGCCAGAGGGGGAAGGTCTAACGAGGGGCTTACTTCTGGATTCGTGCCTAAGGGTGCTTCCAGGGTCCAGTTGGCTAGTTTCTGGCCAGCTAAGGCATCTAGTCAGACAGGACAGGGCGGCAGCAGTACCTGGGTCTCCAGGGTCTCAGTGGGGCTGCTCAAGAAAGTCTTAGGCGGGCTGGGAAGGTGGCTCAGTGGTAGAGCGCTTGCCTCGCCTGTGTGAGGCCGTGGGTTCAATTCCTCAACACCACATAAGCAGAAAAAGCCGGAAGTAGCTCCATGGCTCAAGTGGTAGAGCATTAGCCTTGAGCTGAAGAGCTGAGGGTCAGTGCCCAGACCCAGGGTTCAAGACCCACAACCAACAACAACAACAATAACAAAAAACAGAAAGTCTTAGGAAACCTCAGGGTGACGGCAGCAGACTCACCACGTTGTGGGCTTCATCGAAGATCACAACTGTCCCCTTCAGGTCAATGTTGTGTGCCTTGCGGCTCTGCAGAGAAGGCAAGTCAGGTTGGAGCAAAACAGGAGAGGGAGAGGCAGGGAAAGGGAGACTAAGGCACATGATGGGCACCACAGGCACCACGCACACACACAACACACACAGAAAAACACAGACACACACAGAAACACACACACATACACAGAAACACACACACAGACACACACACACAAAACACAGAAACACACACAAAACAGACACACACACAAAACAGACACACACACAGAAACAGACACACACATACACAGAAACAGACACACACAGAAACACACACACAGAAACACAGACACACACAGAAACACACATGCATACACAGAAACACACATACACAGAAACAGACACACAGAGAAACATACACACACAAACACACAGAAACACACATACATACACAAAAACACACACAGAAACATACACACACAGAAACACACACACACAGAAACAGACACACACACAGACGCACACAGAAACACACACACAGAGAAACATACATACACAGAAACACACACACAGAAACATGCACACACAGAAACACACACAGAAACACACAGAAACAGACACACACACAGAAACACACACAAAACACACATACACACACAAACACACAGAAACACACACACAAAACACAGAAACACATACATACACAGAAACACACACAGAAACACAGACACACACAGAAACAGACACACACACAGAGAAACACACACAGAAACACACACACAGAAACACACAGACACACACAGAAACACACATACCCAGAAACACACACACAGAGAGAAACACACAGAGAAACACACAAACACACAAAACACACAGAAATGCAGAGAAACATACACACACAGAAACAGAAACATACACAGAAACACACAAACACAAAACACATACACACACACAAACACACACACACACAGAGAAGCACACACAAAACACAGAAACACACACAGACAGAAACACACACAAAAGCACACACACACACACACCCCACACACACATGGGGCAGGGACAGGGAGCCCTCAGACCCAGCAGTCAGGAAGGACAGCTGTTCCAGAGCAGTTTTGGAAGGCGACCTAGAAGCTGCCAAGGTCTGACCAAAGCCTGGTGCTCCAGGAGTCTGTCCCAGAACACGTACATATACCAGAAGGGCCTGTCTAGCTTCCTGTCCAGGAAGCCATGACAGCCAGGAGTCGTAGACCTGACACTACACACACGCGTACACACACCTGGAGACATTCAAAAATTCAGTGCCCAGGCTCTGATACAAGCAATCTGGGTTGTAATTGGGTATCTGTGGGGGTTGGGGGTTTTTTTGTTTTGTTTTTTGCCAGTCCTGGGGCTTGAACTCAGGCCCTGAGCACCATCCCTGAGCTTCTTTTTTCAAAGCTAGCTAGCACTCTGCCACTTGAGCCACAGCGCCACTTCTAGCTTCTTCTGTTTTATGTGGTGCTGAGGAGTTGAACCCAGGGCTCTGTGCATGCTAGGCAAGCACCCTACCACTAAGCCACATTCTCAGCCCCTGGTCCTGGAGTTTGAACTTAGGGTCTGTCTGTACATGTCCTTTATATTTTTTTGCTCTGCCACTTGAGCCACAGCTTCACTGCCAGCTTCTTGCTGGTTAACTGAAACCCTTAGCTCCTTAATTATTCTGAGACTATCAAGGTTCTAAAATTCTGTGTCTTTGTTCTCTCAGCTGCAAAGCCAGGAATGACAATATATAACTAACTTCATAATATTCTATCGCCCAGAGAAGAAAAGTCTGGTGTAGAAGAGCCCCAAGGCGGAAGTGGCGCTGTAGTTCAAGTGGTAGAGCGCTTGCCTTGAGCTGAAAAGCTGAGGGACAGTGCCCAAGCCCAGAGTTCAAGCCTCACGACCGACAAAAAAAAGAAATGTTTTGGGGCTGGGAAAGTGGCTCAGTGGTAGAGCACTTGCCTCGCATGATCGAGGCCCTGGGTTCGATTCCTCAGCACCACATAAGAAAAAAGCCGGAAGTGGCGCTATGTCTCAAGTGGTAGAGTGCTAGCCTTAAGGTGAAGAGCTGAGGGACAGCACCCAGGCCCAGAGTTCAGGCCCCATGACCGGACCCCCCCCAAAAAAAAACAAAAAACGAAGAGCCCCAAGGCTCCAAGTTCAAACACCACTACTGGAATTTTTTTTAAAAAAACAACAAAAAACAAAGCTTAAATAAGACAGAACTGTCTTGTTCTTGCAAAGCACTCCCATTTCCATGCAACCATGGTGTTAGCCGTGGAGATGGAGCTCAAACCCACGGCTGCAGCAGGTCTTACACGAGTCCCTCAGGTGCGACCCACAGCTCACCTCACCAGAGCCGCAGGCCTCCAACCCTCCCTGTTCCACTGCTGCGAAGGCCCTCTGCTACGGGCACCTAGTCTAACCTCTAGCTAACCCATTTACAGCTTCGCTTGCTCTGCTCGATCTGCCATCCACAGACTGTCTCCACTTTCCCCCTCTGGCTTTTAAGAGCTACCGCGTGCCAGTGGCTCTTGCCTAGCTACTCAGCAGGCTGAGATCTGAGGATTGAAGTTCAAAGCCAGCCTGGGCAAAAACGTCCCCATGAGACTCTTATCTCCAATTAACCACTCAGAAACAGGAAGTAGGGGTTGGGAAGGTGGCTCAGTGGTAGAGCGCTTGCCTCGCATGCATGAGGCCCTGGGTTCAATTCCTTAGCACCACATAAGCAGAAAAAGCTGGAAGTAGAGCTGTGGCTCAATGGTAGAGTGCTAGCCTTGAGCTGAAGAGCTGAGGGACAGTGCCCAAGCCTCACAACTGAAAAAAAAGCACTGTGGCTCAAGTGGTAGAGTGCTAGTCTTGAGCACAAAGAGACTCAGGGACAACGCCCAGGCCCTGAGTTCAAACCCCACAACTGACCAAAACATAACAGTGATACACAGACCATGACAAATGAAGGGTGAAGAACAAAAAGATGTACCACAAAAACATACTAGAAAGAAACCACTGACAACAGGAAAATGTTCCTATCTCCTGTGTTCTCTGCACCTCCTGCCAGAACGGAAGCTAGGCCCTGTCCCAGAGGCTCTACCTGATACTCTCCTCACCACCAGCCTGCCTGTGCTCAGGCTGCTCAGAACCAGCAGCTGTTCACAGTCCCATCAGATCCGCTTCTGGCCCCTAATGAAAGACGGAGGGGCAGGACCCACCCTCAGCGGCGGCTCTGAGGGCCTGAGCAGCAGAGGCTCGCTCCTGGTTTCCTTTCCGTGGTTGACTCCCCAGTCTAGGGACATCCCCTGGACATCAGAAGTCATCAGCTCCTCACCTTGGCATCCAGTAAGTAGTTGTACGGCATGAAGATGACGTCAGCTTGCTGCTTCAGGTTCCGAGAAAGGTAATAAGGGCATACTCTGGGAGAAAAGGGAAAGAAGAGCCTGTAAGTGCCCCCATGGGCACGTGGGGCACCCTATGACCGGGACGGAGCCCTCACCCTGCACACAGGCCTCCAGCAGAGCTGGCACAGGCAGCACCCATGAGGTAACAGCTCCTTGACAAGATCATCTACTTCAAAACTCTGTGAAGCCAGGAGAAAAGCCTGAGTTCAACCCTATCACCACAAAACCAACAAAACGTGTGAAAAATCAACAAAATCCCGGCCTGTTCCTGAATCATCAGAGAAGAAAAAAAAAAAAACAATACAGAAGTACAGAAAAAAAAAAACCCAAGAACAAAAAAGGCAGGCAGGGTGCCAGGCACTGGTGGTTTATGTCTGTAACCCTAGCTACTCAGGACACTGAGCTCTGAAGATTGTAGTTTGAAGCCAGCCTAGGCAGGAAAGTCCATGAGACAATTATCTCCAATTAACCACCAAAAAGCTTGAAGTGGAACTATGGCTCAAGTAATAGAGCACTAGTTTTGAGCTAAAAAGCTCAGGGACTGTGTCCAGGCCCTGAGTTCAAGCCCTAGGACTGGCACAAATAATAATTAATTTAAGAAGCAGAACTTTTGCATTTGGGAAGGTGGCTCAGTAGTAGAGTGCTTGCCTCCCATGCATGAGGTCCTGGGTTCGATTCCTTAGTACCACATAAGCATAAAAAACTGGAAGTGGTGCTGTGGCTCAAGTGGTAGAGCGCTAGCCTTGAGCTGAAGAGCTGAGGGACAGCACCCAGGCCTAGAGTTCAAGCCCCACGACCAACAACAACAAAAAAGAGCAGAACTTTTTCCCTCCCTCCCTCTTTCCCTTTCTGTGCTGGAGATGGAAGTTAGGGCCTCAAGTGTTTGAGTCGGCTACTCATACTGTGCCCAATGGAGATATGCTCTATCAGAAGGGAGCTAAGTACCCACACGGGAACTCAAAGTGTATTAAGTGGTAAAGAACGTTGCAGAATAAGCACAAAGAAAACTCTCCCCTTTCTCTTCCCCTTTCCTCCTCCTTTTCCCATCTCTCTGTGTCTGTACTAGAGCTTAAACTCTCGTTCCAGGGGTGACTCCGTCACTTGAACCCTGCCTCCAGCTCTGGCTTGTTGCTGGTTAATTGTACCTAAGAAGTGGAAGGGTTTGTCTGTCCCAGCGGGGATGCCTGGCTCCAAGTATGTTTTTCTTTTTTTTTTGTCGGTCATGGGGCCTGAACTCTGGGCCTGGGCGCTGTCCCTCAGCTCTTCAGCTCAAGGCTAGCGCTCTACCACTTGAGCCGCAGCGCCACTTCCGGCTTTTTCTTTTTGCTTATGTGGTGCTGAGGAATCGAACCCGGGGCCTCAGGCATGCAAGGCGAGCGCTCCACCCCTGAGCCGCCTTCCCAGCCCCCCAAGTATGTTTTTCTAAATTCACAGGCTCTGTCCACGAGGGCCGCCGCGGGCGCTGGGGGCAGAGGGACGCGGGGCCTCCTCTTTGCTCCGGACCGAGTGAACCGCGCAGCCGTCGCTTCCACAAACAGCAAAGAAACGCGCGGCGCCCCGCGTCGTCACGAGTCTGCGTGAAAACGTGAGGAGAAAACGCGCGGCGCCTCCCTCCACGTCACGTCACGTCACGTCACGTCCACCGTGAGCGCGCGGCGCCTCCCTCCACGTCACGTCACGTCTACCGTGAGCGCGCGGCGCCTCCCTCCCTCCACGTCACGTCACGTCTACCGTGAGCGCGCGGCGCCTCCCTCCACGTCACATCACGTCTACCGTGAGCGCGCGGCGCCTCCCTCCCTCCACGTCACGTCACGTCCACAGTGAGCGCGCGGCGCCTCCCTCCACGTCACGTCACGTCCACAGTGAGCGCGCGGCGCCTCCCTCCACGTCACATCACGTCCACCGTGAGCGCGCGGCACCTCCCTCCACGTCACGTCCACCGTGAGCGCGCGGCGCCTCCCTCCACGTCACGTCCACCGTGAGCGCGCGGCGCCTCCCTCCCACGTCACGTCCACAGTGAGCGCGCGGCGCCTCCCTCCCACGTCACGTCCACAGTGAGCGCGCGGCGCCTCCCTCCACGTCACGTCCACCGTGAGCGCGCGGCGCCTCCCTCCACGTCACGTCACGTCTACCGTGAGCGCGCGGCGCCTCCCTCCACGTCACGTCACGTCCACCGTGAGCGCGCGGCGCCTCCCTCCACGTCACGTCACGTCCACAGTGAGCGCGCGGCGCCTCCCTCCACGTCACGTCTACCGTGAGCGCGCGGCGCCTCCCTCCCTCCATGTCACGTCACGTCACGTCACGTCAGCGCGCGGCGCCTCCCTCCACGTCACGTCACGTCAGCGCGCGGCGCCTCCCTCCACGTCACGTCACGTCACGTCAGCGCGCGGCGCCTCCCTCCACGTCACGTCACGTCACGTCAGCGCGCGGCGCCTCCCTCCACGTCACAACCATCTGCCGTGAGCGCCATTCAATGGGAAGGGAAGGGTCTCACTTGTGCTTGCTCCCGCCTCGGACAAGGTCCTCAATGTCCAGGATGGAAGCGGCCAGCTCCTGTTCCAGGCTTTTCTCTGCAGAAAAGAAACAGGGTCAGCACACACCTCAGGGGCCATTTGAGGGTCCCGTGCGCATGGACGCCCAGGACGCATGCCCTGGCCTGGAGGCTGGGCCCGGGAGAGGACCCTGGAGGAAGAGCCCAGGGGAGCCGAGCGCCACACCCGGCAGGCAGTGCCCAGCCTGATGCGGAGGGAGGATTCAGACCGATGCCAAAACAGACCCCCAAGGGCCCAGGCACCCTCTCAACCTCCAGGGCGGGAGGAGCCTTCGGAAGAGCCTAACGGCTCGTCACCCAGGGACACGGAGAACGTGACCTGTGAGAACACCACCCTCCCAGCGGGAGGAAGCTGGCGTGTCACAGCCAGCGGGGAGCTGGCAGGGCCAGGGGAGGTCCATCCTCTTCCTCAGGACAGCAGCCTGGGTACTGGCGCCACCCATGCTAGCTGCAAGGCCCAGAACAGAAAGGACCTTGATGGCTGTCCTGCCCTGGCCACGGGACTACCCTGGGGAAGTAAACTGCTAACTTCTGGGCCCCACATCACGTGCGCAAGAACAGGAACTTCTATCAAGTGTCCCAGAGTCTGAAGGCAACCACATAGGGAAGACAAAGAGCCTCCTTTCCGTGCCCTTCCCTTCGTGGGACAGACGAAGGCCCAGTCCTTACCTGCGGAGGCCAGAAAGCACACACAAACTACGCACACATATAGGCACTTCCCCGAACCCCCCAGGGACAGCAGGACTCGCAGGGGCGGGGCACAGCAGCAGACCAGCCAATCAACACATGCTGCAGCTGAAAGCCAGCTGTACTTCCTAAACAGAGCTGAGCAAGCGAGTGTAGTGGGGAGCAGAAAAAAGAAGCAGGCCAAGAGGGGTGACAGGCATGGAGAGCCACCACAAAAAGTGGGCCCCATGCTTGCTTTCCCTTCCAGGCCCAAGGGGATGTGGCCAGGCAGTGTTTCAACTCGCAGCTTCTCTCCTCTCTCCTCATGAGCAAAGGTCTCCCCTTCCTCCTGGAGCCCTCATGGGGCTTCCGCCTGCTCCAAAGACAGCCAGGGCTAGCCAGCTGCTAGAGAACTCGTAACAAGCCAGAGCAGCTGGGCAACCTTCTAAAAGGCTAAGCAGTAAGGAGTCAAACCCAAGAGGGGGCCGGACTGCAGCTCTCAGGCCTGGGCAGAGGCCAGGGAGTGGAAGCGTTGGCTCAGGGACAGCATGGGCACTGATGCTACGGCCCAAACCTCCCCTTATGCCTCAGGACCCATGCCAGTGCCAGCTGAGCAGTGCCCACTGACCTCTGGAGTGGAACACTGGCCGGACACATTCCCACGGGAGCTATAGCAAAGCCCCCTGCCCATGCGATGCAGGTGGGGTAGAGAAGAGGTGACCGTGCCTCAAGCCAGTACGAATGCAGGACAAGGTGGGAAGGCTTACCTTCTACATTGTTGTAGAAATGACAGGAGCGACTAGTCACCTTCTTGCGACACAAATGGATCTCCAAGAAGAGCAGAGAAAGCCATAAGGTGCCTGAGAAAGGGCCATCTATCCTCAAGCCCTTGCCAGCTCCTCTCCATGCCCTGCCCCCAACAAACTTTCAATCTTGGCCGCAACCACGAGGAGGCAAAAGGCCTGTGGTCAACATCTGCTGGCACACAGCGAGGGCCTGAAAACCAGAAGCACCACCAGCCCAACAGAGCCGTGGAGGCGGCAGCTCACCTGCAGGTGGTTACTCTCTTGCTTCTTCACCTCAGGGTGGATGCACAGCTGTTCCCGAGAGCCCAGCACACATACCCTAGGCCTGGCAGAGAGCCAAGGGGTCAAGGCCCAGCAGCCGGGCCCAGCAAGGTGAGCTGTGTGGAGACTCAAAGGAGCACATGGGAATTTGGTGGCAAGAGTGGCTGCAATGTGACCATCTCAGGACAGAGGTGGGAGGTAAGGCAGGAAAGGCTCAACAGAACAATCTGCTATCCATGTCCCACACAGGAGCACAGGCAGGATCCCAAGACTCGGCTGGGAACTGGCAAGAGGCAGCCCTGTCTCCCTTCATGAATAAAGCTGGACAGACGGGGAGACACAGACAGACAGACACACACACATACGCACGCACAGTGCTGGCCCCTACAACCCACAAGGAGCCTAGAGTACGAGGCCAAAGTTGCTTTTTTTTTGGGGGGGGAGGGGTGGTTGGTCATGAACTGGGGCTTGAATTCAGGGCCTAGGTTTTGTCCCTAAGCTTTTGTACCCATGACTAGTGCTCTACCACTTCAAATTCAGGGCCTGAGTGCTGTCCCTGAGCTCTTCTTTGCTCTACCACTTTGAGCCACAGTTGCATTTGCAGTTTTGCGTGGTTAATTGGAGTTGAGTCTCATGGACTTTCCTGCCTAGGCTGGTTTGAACTACAATCCTCAGATCTCAGCCTCCTGAGTAACCACCAACACAGAGTAGTACTTTCTTTTTCCTCAAGATTGTTTTTGGTTTTTTTTCCCCAAAAAAACTGAGGGCAAAACTCAGGGCATTGTACTTGCCAAACAAGGGCTCTTCCACTGAGCTAAACCAGAACCCTACCAAAGTTGTTTTTTTTTTTTTTTTTGGGGGGGGCCGGTCATGGGGCCTGAACTCTGGGTCTGGGCGCTGTCCCTCAGCTCTTCAGCTCAAGGCTAGCGCTCTACCACTTGAGCCACAGTGCCACTTCCGGCTTTTTTCTTTTTGCATATGTGATGCTGAGGAATCAAATCCAGGGCCTTAGGCGTGCAAGGCAAGCGCTCTACCACTGAACCACCTTCCCAGCCCCACAAAGCTGTCTTTTTACAAGCAGCAGGCTTCACCTCCTGCACACATGCACGCTCGCCCCATACCAAGCTCACTGTGCTAATAAGGCAAGTGTAAAGCTGCTAACCCACCGGTAGGAGGTGCTCCGAAGCTCACTGATGACTTGAGTGAGCTGTGAATGGGTCCTGGAAGCATAGATGATCTTTGGAATGTCTGCATAGCAATCTGTCCAAACATAAGAAAGAGTAAAAGGGGGTGACTTCAGGCAATGTTCTCATGTGTTTACACAAGCAGAATTAAGCTAACTCAGCCCTGCCAACAACCACGAACCCCGCACAGATGTGGATACCTGTGGTGCCCTAATTCCAGAAAAAGCTCTTACCCTACTTTACTCTCTAGATAGAAATGATGTTGAGGGTACAAAATTCTCTTCAACTCTAAAGAAAACAACATTAGGCCAGATGGACTAGCCCTGTTCCTGGGTCCATCCTTTCCCGATTGTCCCCACACAAGGTCAGGAGGGAGAGCCCAGGAAGAAGAGTCACCTATGGTGTCTCCATCAGCAGCAGTGGAGTTCCCCCAGGATGACAACTGCTGATGGAGAAGAAGGTCCCCTTGCACCCTCTCAGCAATCTTGCGGGCAGAAATGGCGTCGCGGAGGTGTTCACGCCAGGCCAGTGTAGTGCAGAGGAGGCAGAGCGTCTTCCCAGTGCCCGTAGGACTCTCCAGAATGCCGTTCACCTTCTGAATGGGATTGGAAGCAGAGTGCAGAGAAGAGGGGGGGGCTGGGAGACAGCCCCGCAAGCAAGAGGATGACTCTTTTAAGAGGTACAACCCAGGAAGTGGTGCCAAGGCTCAAGGGGTAGAGCGCTACCCTTGAGCTGAAGAGCTCAAGGACAGTGTGCAGGCCCAGAGTTCAAGCCCCATGACCTACAACAACAACAAAAGAGACATAGCCCACCCCACCCTCAGGTAGCAAAAGCTCTAAGGAACAAAAATCCATAAAACATTTCCCACTCCTGCCCGACAAGACACCAATTAAATTAGCAAACAATTTTCAGAGCATTACCCAAAATGTGGCAACGTCTTTCAGCCTAATATAAATAGTAAGATGATTAAGTGTCAAGTCTCAAAATAGGAAAGTGTTCTGCACTTCTGGATCCAGGCACTCACCCTGTCCCATCTGAATCTGATGGCCTATATAAGAGTTCTCAACAAGAAACTACAGCGGGGAAGGGTGAGCAGGGTACAGGAGCACACCCCAAGAAACCCAGCAGTAAGTAACCTGCCCTCTTCTACTTCCCTGCACACCTCTGGGATTCAAAGACCTCCCAAAACTAGGCTCCTCTATATGGAAACACTTTCTCCTGATATGATAGCCACTCTCCATCCACTGGGATCAGTTCAGATGCTATCTACTCAGAGGGTCCCAAGGCACACCTGACACCCCCATGAAGAATCATCTCTTCTGTTCACTTGACTGATGGAGAATCTCCTACCCACCTTGAAACCCTATTGATGGTAGAATGCAGGGCCTGGCTGGAATGTGCTGGAGAAGAGATGTACTAGACCTCCACTAAATTTTTACCCCACTGACCTACCCTCAAACAAACGCCTCTGTGGCTTTACCTTCTGGAGACATTCCAGGACCTTGGTCATGTACTCCTGTTGACACTGGTAGGGCTCGAAAGGGAAGTCCACTGTCACACCATTCAGAACTATCTTGGGCATATCAGCCTGGTCTCAGGATAGCACAAAGGGGGGCTGAGATGAAGGCTGTCTGGGTCCCCTCTGAGTATCCTGGCGTCTCAGCCTCCTCAGGTAAGTAATGCCAGCATGTGGAACTGGGTCATCATGTGCTCTCTACAGAAATCCCTACAACAGACACAGGAAAGGCAAGAGATTCTTTTGTCAGCAATTTCTGGAAGACCTTCCTTTGGAGGGCAAAAGGCCAGCATGTTAAACCCTGCACTTTATTTTTCCTTTTTTCTATTTTTTTTGTCAGTCGTGGGGCCTGAACTCTGGGCCTGGGCACTGACCCTCAGCTCTTCAGCTCAAGGCGAGCGCTCTACCACTCGAGCCACAGCGCCACTTCTGGCTTTTTTTCTGCTTATGTGGTCTGAGGAATCGAACCCGGGGCCTCATGCATGCGAGGCAAGCACTCGACCACGGAGCCAACTTCCCAGCCCCGTGTTATACCCTATTTAGGGGGAGCCTTGGGTTGATGACAACCGAGTAGGCCCGCCCCAGACCTCCACCCTGCTCAGAAAAGGAGGTGGACTCAGCCTCAGCAGGACCCCGGGCAAGCACGCTACGGGCCTCCTCGGCCTCCTCGGCCCGCGCGGCTCAGGGGATTTCCTTGCTGCCAACGTAGCGAAAAGGCGTCCCGGGACACAAGTCCGTGCAGTCCCGGCACCGCACCGGCCCGGATCTCCGGGCGCGCCTCCCCCCCCCGCACCCGCTCCGCTGAGCACGCACGCGGCGCAGAAGCCCGAGCTCCGGGGAGCGCCGCGGCCCCGGCCGACGGAAGCCAGGCCTCAGGCCTGCGCGCCGCGCGGAGCCCCGCGCCTCCGCCCCGGGGACGGACCGGCTCCGGGCGAAGCTCCCGCGTCCCGCGCCGTCTGCAAATTCGGACTTGGCGGGCCGCGGTGCTCACTTGCTGCGGTCCGCCGGGTACTTCCGGCCCCACTTCCGGTCCGCCGCTTAACGCCCCCGGAGGAAACCGTTCCGGGGCCGCGCGGCCCGGCCCGGGTGCGGAGCCTCTCGGCGTCTCTGGGCGCACCGCCCCTGCGTCACACCCTCCCTACGTCACACTCTCGCGTCACGTCCGGTGTCTCGGCTCTGCCCCCGGGCCAGGCCGGCGCCGCTCCCCGCGCCGCTCCCCGCCTCCGCCAGGGGCGTCTTTTGCTGCTGGAGTCCGAGTCTGAACGCGACTGTTTGAGCCCGCCCCAAGTGCAGAGGCCAGGCTGGGCCGGGGCCGAGGCCCGCACCCCCTCCCCCAACGTGCAGAGGCCAGGCTGGGCCGGGGCAGAGGCCCGCACCCCCTCCCCGCCGGGGCAGAGGCCCGACCCCCTCCCCCAACGTGCAGAGGCCAGGCTGGGCCGGGGCAGAGGCCCGCACCCCCTCCCCAACGTGCAGAGGCCAGGCTGGGCCGGGGCAGAGGCCCGCACCCCCTCCCCGCAACGTGCAGAGGCCAGGCTG